GACTCTGCTGCAACAATCACGGCTTCCATTCAACAAGTTCGGTAGGGCTGAACAAAAAACACTCGACGGGGCGTTTTCTGGCTGGTATTTGAACAGTTTACCAGTGATGGTCATCATTGTCTTTAAATATTTGGATGCTTGTCGTTCTTCTCTCAGTTTTCCCTCATTTTCACAAAGAAAGATATAAAATTCTACATGCCAGGGTTCAGCACAGACAACAGCCTGATGGTCAAGTTAAAGTCCACCTTGGTCAGTGACGGGGTTTCCATCAGAGTCCACAACAACTTTACTTGTGAAGCAACTAAAAGAGGCTGAACCCGCAATAATTAATTTTATTTATATTTTTAAAGGATTTTCACATTAGAATCAATCACATGAGGCTACTGTAGGTTAACAGACTGTTTAGTGACCCTCATAACATAAAACAGGTATTCTTCTTTGTACAAGTGAAGATGTAAATCATATGTAAATTTGAGTGTCCAGGTGCTCCTCCGGGATTGGTGCGTCCAGGGTGGATGGCTCGCACCGATTGGCTGCGGACCGGGAGGCAGCGGATAAGAAGAGACCGCCGGGGACTGCCACTTCATTCATCCTCGGCCCAACCCAACCGGCAGACCGCTCACTGTGTCACTATGTTGCTATGTTACTTAATGTAAGAGCATGTAGGGGTGGACCGCCTTTTTGTTTGATCAGTTTTCTCCTGTTTTTGTTAGGCAGGGAGGAAAGTGATTGTCGTTTGGTTTAGTTCTTTTGGGTAGGTAAGTTGTTTATTCCTGGGATAGGTTACCTTTTGTTTGTTGTTTTGGCCTTGGGTTCACCCTGAAGTTATGATATGCTCCCTTCCTTGGTTTAACTGCACTTATTGTAAATAAATCACTGTCACAAAATATTAAGTGTGTGACGTGCTGCTTGGGGTTGGACGGGGATGGATCAACCTTTATGTTGTGGTCTGGCCGCGCCTAGACGGGCCATAACAGACTGTAAAATGCATTTAGCAGTACATGTCGCCGACTGTTGCAGATTGCTGATTTAGCTGCAAACATCCAGCAACTACTCATCGAGTGATAGTGAAAAAGTCAGAAGTGCAATGCAAAAAGGGATAAGATGCCATTGGCCTTCAAAGTAAAAGCTGACCCTTTTAAAAGTGTTGGTTTTAACAGTAAGGCACAACTTTTACCTTGAAGTCCAAGTTTTCCAAGTTTCATTACAGCTCAAATAGTGAAATGCAGAGTGTTTGTAGACAAGGACACTACAGACGACTGTGGCAACCTGCTTGTTATTAAAGCATTCAAAAGCAGAGTTTTGGTGCAACTGAATTCATCTGAATATCACCAGAAATCCCTCTTTCCTCTTGTCACCGTAGGTTGCTAAGGGCTAAAGTGTAGCCCCCGCAGGCTCAGCTGTTGTCAAGAAAAAAGGTTAATATCACAACAAAGACTGATGCGGTCACAGTTTCTGGTGGGACTGCAGCCTGTGTAGTCTGACACACAAGCAGCAAAAACAGTCAGTGACCTGCAATGGAGCCAACATCTTTTTCCTGTAGTCGACAGCAGCAGCACAAACCAGTAAACATGAAGAAAGGCCTTGTTTCAGCTGCTATCCAAGCCCACTATGTGTTGCAGAAACAGCCCAACTGAAGTGAGAAGAAGTTAAAACCACAGCTGTCTTATTTAGTTTCCATTACTATTAAACGTCTTCTAATCTTTGTCCTCCTCTTTCTAGCACTGACACCTGCAGCACTATATTTATTTCAAAGCACTAAGTAATTACTTTGTAATTATTTCACTGATATAGATTATTCACATCACTGCTAATTAAAACATGGTATATTCTTATAGACAGCGCAACCCACCAGCAAATAAAGCATTAAAAATCAGCTGTTTTCAGTAACCCAAACACACTATCCCTGTCTAACAGTCGTGTCAGCTCTGAGTCATTTCCCTGCAGACTAACACTTTGAGCTCATAACCTGCGACAGCTACAGCGTGAAGACGTCAGGAGACTCTCTGAGGTCTCTCGATGACTGTTTCTTCTGTGGCAGCTAAGCTCCTGCAGGTTACAGTGGCCTGACGAACACCAACTGACTCAAAAAGACCATAAAAATACTAAATTAGCTAAAAAGCCCCCACCAAAAAGGAAAAAAGAATAATTGGCACTGTATAGAAGATACTATCCTGATAGTCTTCATTCAAACTCAGCACTCAGTCCTCAAACATAATACGATCCCCATCTTTCAGTCCTTACTTCCACATTTGCGTAAGGTGTTTCTGAGGCTGTGGTTACCTGCAGGGCAGGATGCGGACCACGTCGTTGGCCTTATAGCCCTCGATGCAGACGGCGCAGTTGTCAAAGTCGGGCTCGGTCTCCTGGTCGCCCTTCCTGATGGTGCGAAGCTGCAGCTTACTGATGGCCTTCTTCGCTGCGTCACCAAGACGCCGCTGGAGAGACACAGTGAGTCTTTACTTTGAGCTTGTAAAATGTGATTCATGTTTTACAAGCTGAAAACAGAACACTTTCCAATAATGGGCTTGTTATTCAGCAGAGATGAACTACATACTACTTTACTCTTATACTGTAAAAGATAAACCTCTTCTTCTGAACCACCTCATTAACATAGGTTCTAGTTATATGATGCTGCTCCTTCTGTC